CTATAAAAGAAAATGCGAATGGTTAATAACACCTATCTAAGATTAGCTAAGGCTAAATGAGAAAGAATTAATTTAAAAAATACCAAGAAAAAGCAGACCTCAAGAGTATAGGTTCTGTTTTATAAATTAGCAAGTCACAATAATTTAGGCAATAAGTGAATAATTGTGGGATAAGATTAACTAGGTGTTTTAAGGTTGTTGAAGATCTTAAATTGCACTAATTTAGCAGGGAGTTGGTTCAGTGTGTTTCAGTGTAGCAATTAGCTCCCTGTAAATGATGGGAGCTAAGTGTTTTTATTCATGTGTGGGTCTCTGCTGTGTGAGATCATCTCTAACATTTGCTGAGTTGGGGTTAGAACCCCAAAATGTCCATCTGAAAGGCTCTACGTTGAAAAGTCAGTTTCTTCATCTGTAAATGAAAGGGTGGGAAGAGTCAAGATCAAAGAGCTTCCAAGAACCCATAAACCCTGGAGAGGCTAAGTGGTGCCCCGAGTTGCACAGCTGGTCTGTGCCAGACTTGGAAAGTGGACTTGGCTCCCAGGTTCCCTTTATGGCTCTGAGTCAATTCTGTATTTAAAAAATTCAGTTTAAGCTAAACTGTTTGACACAATGTAGATTAACAACCATCTTATCGAGTTGTATTTTTTTCCTATTTCAACCAGTGTTCATGTCAAGTAAACATAGCCTCTAAAGAAGGATATCAGCAGCTAAAAAAGGAACAAGCTTGAACACAGTTGTGCTTGGAGCTGGCTGCTTCACGCAGTAAAACACAACACCTTCCGCCTCCAGCACTGGGAACGGGAAACAATAGGTGCGATGTTTTTAACATGCAGACTTACACAAAGGTTACCTGCACTGGCACCTGATCATGACAAGCAAAATGCCATACATGGCAAGAAAGAACCCTAACTAACTGGGTTTGAAAATATTTTCTCCCGAGTCCATGTTCCCTGTGATTGCCAAGGGACTTCTGCATATCCCCGGGCGGTGAGAGTGTAGTGTGAAACCAGCCAGGGATGACGTAGTGGCCTGGTCATCCTCAGCCCTGGAGACACAGTAGTCTATCCCTGTACACTGCTGGGGATCTGATTCTCTAAACTACACCACAGGTTCCAAGTCTGAGACCTAGTTTGATTTCATATATTAAAAAATTTTTTCATCCTCCATAATGTAAGCAGAATAAAACAGATAAAAACTAGGAAAAATATTTGTAACTTACATTCCAGACAAAGGGTTACTATCCCTAATATGTTAAGAGCTTCTAAGACCTTCAAGTAAACTTTTCAAAGTAAAAGAACAACAGCCACATTGAGAAAAGGCGTCTTATAAACATGTCCTGTAAGCACATGAACAAACGTCCAACATTACTCCTAATAAGAGAAGTGCTCAGTCAAACCACAGGAAGATACAAATGCTGGTGTGAAGGCAAAATGGTACAAACTTTGTGAAGAGAACTTGACATCCAGGAAAGTTACAAATACATTTACCTTTAATCTATTCTAGAAATCTATTCCAAAGAAACACTGGTAAATGTGAAAAGCTATTAATTGCAGCACAATTCATAACCGCAAAAAACAAGAAGAAACGTAAATGTCCATCAACAGATGACTGGTTAAATAAACTGTGGAGTACTCTGCAGCTATAAAAGAGAAGGAGAACGGTCTTTATATTTGCATACTGCTATGGAGTACTCTCCACAGTACTGTAAATTTTTTTATTGTTGTTCAAGTACAGCTGTTTCCATTTTTCTGCCAGCAGTTTTTCCCACCTCATCGGCCCCCACCTCCCACCCTCAATCCTACCCCCCTTTGGTTTTGTCCATGGGTCCTTTATACATGTTCCTTGACAACCCTTCCCCTTCTTTCCCCTATTATCCCCTCCCCTGCCCTTTAGTTACTGTCAGTTTGTTATTTATTTCAATGTCTCTGGTTATATTTTGCTTCCTCGTTTGTTTTGTTGATTAGGTTTTTTGATAGATGGTACATTTACACAATGGAATACTACACAGCAGAAAGAAAGAAGGTGCTCCTACCCTTCGCAACAGCATGGGTGGAACTGGAGAGCATTATGCTAAGTGAAATAAGCCAGGCAGTGAAAGACAAATACAAAATACTGTAAATTTAAGAGCAGTGAGGTGGAGAAGTAGAATGGAGTGTGTACATGTTTCTGTATTTGCTTAGATTTAAAATTAGAAGGGTAAACTACAAACCAGACAAAATGATTAAAAAATGAAGGTAGAGAGGACAGGATAGAAGCTAGATTTTTCTTGTTTTGTTCCATGGTTTTTATTTGGGGATTTTGTAGATATTTAATCTAATTTTAAAACAAAATGTAAAAGCAAAATGAAACAGATAAACATTATTGTATATTGACTTGTGACATAAACGCACAGAGGAATTATTTTAAGAGCTCTTAAAACAGGGTAATGTTTAACTGTTTATTACCTACTGGAATATATCCAAAAGTTTTTTTAAAAAGTGGACTCTTAAGCAGTTTTGAATACTATTTTTAGTAATATGTGTATTATAATTTTGAACATATATATTTAAGCAAGAAATTGTAATAATGTAATAGGAAGAATAAAGTTAGGAGGAAAAAATTAAAATGCAAGCAAAACTCAAGGCAGTTAATTTGAACTGAAAATATTAATGTGAATTTATAATATTATTTCTTGTTCAAAACAAAAATTTCTAGAAACAATGATTAATCTAGTTAATTTGTCTAAATTAATGAAAACCACTAGTGCCCACATTTGTCTAAATACAAGGGTGGGCAAAATTAGGCTTAGAGTTGTTCTTGTGGAAAATAATGTAATAATTAATAAATTATAATACAAGAATTTACTTGTGTTTCACATACAACTGTAAACCTACTCTTGTCCACATTTGTGTATTTCCCTCTTAGAAAAACAAAACAAAACAAGGCTTCTTTGTGAAATGGCTAATTCTAAATCAAGACATAGAAAGCATGCCAGATAAGGTTGAAACATCCAGTCCTACCACAAAAGAAGAAACCTATGACGGACTGTTGGAGTCATGACAAGAAGACACAGGAGAAACTTAAAGAGGCTTCCAGTTGTCAAAGATGGAAAAGTTCGATCACCAAAAAGAAAAAGCACAGCAATAGATTAAAACATATCAACTATGTTAAAACTCATGTGTTGACACAATACCTGAAAAAATTCCCTTGGTCATATGTGGAGGTCGCTAAGGAAACAACTCATTATTTTTAAAATTACTAAATAAAGGGAAAGAATCAATCATTTATCCTGCTCTTTTGTTCAAATATCACATGTACTCAAATGGCTGATCACAGAAACTGCTTCTTTATAGGAGAGTCCCAGCTAATAAATGCAAAAGGTAGGACAGAATTATCATACCACTAGTTTATAAGCCCTGTTATATAATGGAATAAGCAGTAAGCATTGATGGGAATTAAAGCCATTAGCTAAAATGAGGAATTTTAAAATGTAGAGATTTTCAAGCTTTTAAGTGCATATTAATCACTTGGAGATATTGTTAAATTCTGGAACCTGATTCAGTAGGCCTGGGGTTAAGTGTGTGATGCTACCTTTATAACAAGCCACCACATGGTGCCAATACTGCTGGTGAGAGGGCCGGGCTAAGACAGAAAAAAAGAGAAAGCTGCTCCTGACAATGGGCAGCTGGCCTGCTGCTATCAGCTGGGCCTTGGTGTTCCCCTGATGACCATAACTTCACAGAACAACATCAGACAAGGTCATTAGTAGCCATGATGGATCAAGACAAAAACAAGATGACTGTGTAATCACACCGAAACACAAATGATGAACACTACCAAAGGAGGAAAGCTGACCAAACCTCCCCCTATCCTGGCCATAAATGGCCACTACTTTGTCACTGATTGTATCTTTGGGCTCATTCCTGTCTTCCTTCCTTCTATATAACCTTTACTGCAATGACTAATTACTTCTGCTTCCTGAGAGCATCAAATCCAGAGCAAAGACCCAACTCCTTAAACCCTCCCTAATACAATCACCAAGCATAATCCCAAATCCTATAATAAGTTCTTTCTAACACCCTCTGAGAGCATCATTTCTCATTACAACATGTGGTAAACATCTTGTTCCTCGGGTGTGTTCTGGTGGTCTTTGCTGGAGTATCAGTTCAATAGTGTGGTGGATCCCTCTGACAGCCAGGTCATTAATCACTGTGCATATGGAGATGCACAGCCACACCTATAAAGTGTTCTTGTCAAAATAAATAAATAAATAAATAAATAAATAAACCAAATCTGATTAGGTCTCCAGATTTAACTATCACTTTACAAGAAATGCAAAGGATGGAGGAGCAAATAAGGAACCACATTTAATTCAACCACAAGGTAAATTGTATTTTTTTCCCAACAAATAAATGACCAGGCAAAAAGAAGATGGAGGGGGAACATATATATTAAAAGAGACTCAATGTCATACCAATGATTTGTAATGTGTAGCCCTTGTTTCGGTTTTAATTCATAAAAACTACTACACAAACTAATAATGATAATGATAAAAATAACAAGTGTAGGTGGGTATAAATAAAAACACTGGCTATATTTGATAATTGCTGAGTGGAAGTAGGCAATTTTTTGAATCCATATTTTTAATATGCTTGAAAAGAATTCATAGTAAACAATTTTTACCATTTAATTCAATAGATCATTTTTGGAAGAAGGCAAGTTAGTAAAAATTAAGACTGCAGCTCAAAATGGCTATATATTCTAGAGAAAGAAACTAATAAATTTTAGAGTGTTTCCCATGCTGAAGTTGCTTTCAGATCCATTTTTTGAGAGCTATTAAAATTTTCATCTGTTTTTCTTTTCTTTTCTTTTTTTTCTCTTTTGTAGTCACTAACATATGTCAACTACAAGTAAACAGGAATAAGAAATTACTATGTAGACTCAGATGATGGTCTTAGAGAAACATTCAATTTAAATGTTGGGTTCTTAAAGAGAAGAAAACATATAGTTTGAGCAATTACCTGGATCCGTAGCCGACATCAGTGAACCAAAAAACAAACAGTCGGTGAAATGGAAGTCTCCATTTTTCAACTGGCCAGCATACACCATAGCTTTCACAAAGCCATACATAATTAACCTGTTAAAGAGAAAAATAAGACCTTCAAACATCAACTTGAATCCTGTGCAATCCCATGTCATCATAGTAACATTGAATGTGCCTCTCAAATAAGCTTCATACACCAAGAAGTCCTCAACCATTTTGGTTCCAGGGACCAGTTTCATGGAACACAATTTTTCCACAGGTCAGTGTGCTGTGGGAGGTCAGAGGGGTTGGGGACAAAGAGGCGGATCTCAGGCAGTAATGCGAGCTGTGTCCACTGACGGGAAGGAAGAAGGGACATTGGGGACCCTTGATTATTACACCATTCTGCCAATTCCTGGACACACTAACTATTGGTACACTATCTAAATCTCTTGTCTATCACATCATAATCAAAAGGCCAAAGGTTAAAGGTAAAGAGAGACTTGTAAAAGCAGCAAGAGAAAAGAAGTTAGTTATCAGATGGTTGCCAGATGGGAGGGGGAGAAAGGGTGAAGAGGTGAGGGGATTAAGAAGTACAAATAGGTAGTTGCAGAATAGCCATGGGGATGTAGCATAAAGTATAGGAAATGGAGCAGAATTTATACACATGACCCATGGACATGAACAATGGTGAGGGGACTGTCTGAAGGAGTAGGGGGTGCTGGGTGGAATGGGTCAAAGGGGGAAAAATCAGGACAACTGTAATAGCATAATCTACACAATATAAGTTAAAAATGAAAAACAAATCTCTTGTCTATGAAAGACAGTTTGTACCAAATACCACAACTCATTCATCTGGAAAAGGGTATAACAGAATATTTCATAGTATATTTTCATGAAAGCAAGATATATCTAAAGGACATAAAAATAATGAGCATGGACAATGAGAGGGATTGACTGTGGGAGTAGGGGGCAGGGCAGGGGAGCGAGATGGGGGGAAGGTGGGACAACTGTAACTGAACAACAGTAAATAAAAAAAATCTGTCCAATATAGCATAGCAAATCATGCTCACAAATACAGTGGCTGAGTTGACATTGGTAAATAGATTGCTTTTCAGTTTTCATTATTTTGCCTGCCAGGGGTGTCGGAAAAGGTTTAAATTTCTAGTCTGTCAATGGCAATAAGGATATTGGTCATTGACAGGGCACCCAGTGAACCAGCTCCTTCACGAGAGAGGAGTCGCTACCGTTGCTGGTGCCAGGGCCCTTCTGCAGTGTTAGAGCTCCTGTCATCTCAACGTATTTTATTGAAAATGAATCCTGAAATGGTTACATTTTGATCTTGCAAGGAAAGCTCCCCCCCGCCACCATGAGATTATAAAGTTTATAAACTTATCAAGACTACTCCATAGAATGCAAATTGTCTGTTTGGTCATCATTTGCCACTCTGTAGCTTGTCAATCGTACTTAATTATTTAGTTGACTTATGGATTTTGCTAAAATCCTAGTAGAGGAAATACAGAGCCTGGTGAGCTGAACCACAGTAAAATCACTGTAGGTGATGGTAAGAGACCTTAGAAACTAGGTCCTCAGCAGTAGATGAATGTTTAAATATTCACATGTATTTAAAGTTAGTATCTTAAAAGTGTTCTAAGGTTGCAAGCATGGCTAAAAAGGCTAGAAATCAGATATTGGGAATTATAATGTCAAAGAAAGTGTAGATGTTTCAAATTCTGTTAAGAAAAATATCTCTGTGAGGGAATATTTCAGATACACTTTCATTTAAAACCAAGTTCTACCACTCACTAGCTATATGATTTTTAGGACATCACTAAACTTTCTGAGTTCAATATCTTTATTCATTAGGTAGGGGTGACAATAATAGTTAGCCATAGAGTTGTTTTAAGGGTTGTCTGAGATAATATCCATTTGGGTTCTGGCACACAGTAAATTTTCAAAGTGATTAGTACTGGTAATAATAATGGTCAAAATAATAATATTTACTTACTATTTCTATTTTTTCACATTTTAACTCATTTAATCCACACATCAATCCTATAAAGTACATCCTATTTGTGTTTTACAGATGAGAAAACCAAACACAGTGTAATCAAATAACTTGTTCAAGATGACAAATTACTCTTAACTTGTGAACTCCAGATTTGAACTATGAGGATTTGACTCTAGTGCCTAGGCTTTTAATGACCACATCATACTCCCTCAATGAACAGTTCTATATTTTAAATTATATGTTATCTCATCAAATACATTCACAGCTCCTCCATTATGTGGTTGCTGTAGACAGTACAAAGGAGAAGCAATGGACTATCCCTAAGAAGTTGGCAATAATACTACTCCATGAGTTGACTTATTAAGACAACACATAGTGGTTCAGAGCTGAGAGACGCAACATTTCTGTGAAGTGGATTCTAGTAGGGGAGATTGAATCTTAACAGGGCTGAAGGTATTAACATACCAGAAAGACTGTGCAATGGGACACAGGAGTGGTTGCCAGAAAGAGGTGAGTGTGAGAGGCTTCAGTCATGATAGCTCACGCACACTTATCCTGGGAGGGCCTGCCGGTTACCAGAATGTGCAGCCTTGGACAGACATCAGGCAGCTTCATTCACCTTATTTCTTCATTCAATAGACATTTATTATTGAACCCTTACTACGTGTCAGGCTCAGTCTAAGGTGCTTAAGATACATCAGTAAAACACACACACAGGTCCCTGCATGCATTTTAGCAAGACAGACACCAATGACAACGATCACAAATTTGAATTTCAGTTACCCATTTCACTCTCTGAATTGGAATTTACAGGTGTGGCCAACACTAGGACATTCTGTACAGTCATAACATTACCACAGAAATGCCCTCAGACAGTCAGGCATCCCTTTCTCCTCTGCGGGTGTCAGTCCTGCTTCACCAGAGTCCTTTCTCATTTCTTCTTATTCTCAATATTCTTCAAATATTGAGCTGCAACAGACTCTGGGGTCAATATAAACTTTAGGACATGCGACTGCATTTCTGAATTCTATACCCATTAATTAATTTTACAGGTTAGGAATCTGAGGCTCAGAATTAAAATGGCTTGCCTCATATTGCATAGAAGCCATTAGACTGGATAAGATAAAAAAAAATATATGCAATATACTACCCAGGCTTGGCAAGGTTATATGGAAACTAGAATTCTCATGTACTGTTGATGCAAATGAAATTAATGGTTTCCTATAAACTTATATTTAAAAAAATCAAATATGAACCAAAAGGTGTTTATTCAGATTATTTCTGATTATTATTTATGAGTGAAAAAAGCAATCTAAATGTGCATACACACACACACACATATATGCAGTCTGTCCAGAAAAAGTCCAACCATTGTCAATATAATGAGAATGGATTACACAAAATTTATGTAGCCTGGCAGCCAAGGAGAGTGGACTGGAATGCATGTACCTGAGCAATAATGACTTCACTATACTAGTCAGTGGGGGTAGTAGACACCCTTGAGTGAGCATGTGTACTATTTGGCCATCACATTCAAAATAACTGAGTGATTAGAGCAACAAATCTGCATCAAATTTTGTGTTAAGCTTGAACACTCCTCCATAGAAACTACTTTGATGATTCAGAAGTCAGTAGCTATGGGAAACTGGTGATTGGCAGCTTCATGGTGACAATGTCCCTGCTCATGTATCACATCTCATGCAGAATTTTTTGGCAAAATATCAAATCATCCAAGTGACTCAGCCCCCCTACAGTGCAGATTTGGCACCCTGAGACTTCTTGCTTTTCCCCAAACTAAAACCACCTTTGAAAGGGAAGAGATTTCAGAACATCAATGAGATTCGGGAAATATGATAGGGTGGTTGATGGTGATTGAGAGAACTGTGTGAGGTCCCAAGGTGCCTACTTTGAAGGGGACTGAGATATCTTTGTCCTGTGTGCAATGTTTCTTGTATCTTTAATAAATGTTTCTATTTTTCTATTACATGGCTGGATACCTTCTGAAAAGACTATAATATAAAATAATAAAGTCCAGTTCAGTACAAGATCAATATGTTCATTGTTAATAATGGTCACTATTACTAATAATTATTATAAGCCAATAATTAGTGTGCATCTACTCTGTCCAGGCAATCTTTTATAAACTGTAGCTATTGTCATTGTTGTTACATTATTATTAATAAAAACTAGTTATAACAATTGGGTTGACCAAAGAGTTCATTAGGTTTTTTTCCATAGGATGGCTCTAGTAGTGCTTAGTTGTCTTTAACTTCATTTGAAACAATTTTGTTAGATTATACTGTTAGAGCTGTCATATCAATGAGCAGTTAAAAAAAAACTTATCAAAATTGGTAAGTTTTTGTGTAGTCATTTTAATATTGAAGATGGAAAAATATGCAACATTTTCACCATATTATGCTTTATTATTTCAAGAAAGGTAAAAACAGAATCAAAATGCAAAAAAAAGATTTGTGTAGTGTATGGAGAAGGTACTGTGACTGATCAAATGTGTTAAAAGTGATTTACAAAGTTTCATGCTGGAGATTTCTCACTGGGTTATGCTCCATGACTGGGTAGATCAGTTGAAGTAGATAGCGATCAAATTGAGATATTAATTGAGAAAATCAACCTTATGCCCCTTCGGTCACTGTTTCTCACTGTTTTAAACATTTATTATCATAAAAGCCTTTACTGAGAAATGCAAAGATAAATCAGACATGATTTCTACCCTCAGGAAGGAGAGACAAGCTACCTATATAAGCAGAATTTGTGATAGAAAGTGCTGGGTGTCCTAGGAGAGGTGCAGGTCAAGTGCACTGAGTTCCCGGAGGAGGAGCAGCTCTGTTTAATTGAGGATTCAGGAAAGGTTTTTGAGAAGAAAGTGGCAAATTCGCTGAACCTGAAATACACATCCAAGTAGGGAGACTGCCGGCAACATTCTCTCTCTATGTTGGGTGTTTCAACTACTGATTTATTTTCCTACAATGCAACACCTTTCCTACTGAAGGTGGTTTGTTCTTGAGTCAGTACAAAGCCCAGTGGACAAACAAACAAAATCCCTCCTTTGGCAGTGTGGGGAAACATCTGCCATCTGCCACCCAAT